AGACAAAGGAACATCCCTTCACTGCTATTATGTAAAAATGTGTAGAACAGGTGTCACATGCATATTCACTTTTTTACATAATAGCAGTGAAGGGATGTTCCTTTGTCTACCTGAGGAATTGTATATTTTGTCCGCTTTCTTTGTATGTCATGTTCATAGTGTTATACCCTTCAAATAGTTTTCCATTGTAATTTTACTCTAAAGAATCTATTCAACAAATGTTTTATTTGAAATTCCAAGCACCCACGCTCCTTAGTTACAATCAGGTAAAACTTACCAACGTGAAAATCTTTACAAATGGTTTAAATCAAAGGTTCGTTTCCTTTCAATTTTTTTCTTTTTCTTTTACCCAATCTTTCAGAACCGTCTGGATTCGCGGATAGTTTGCTTGGTGTGTAAGCAAACAACAATTTCCCGTATAAACTACACACGCACCCTCCCATTATATGCTCTTTTTTGTTTGTCCGTAATTTTTGTTTGTATTTCATTTAATATTTTAAAAAATACAAGTAATTCTTAAAAATACAGTTCTTTAGCACCATAATAACATAGTTTAATTTTGCGTAATATAATATGTACAATTGATAATATTATTGGTAAGCACTTAAACATGTGAAGCACTAAAACATACATATTTCTAGAAAATTATGCATCTCTGATATATGAATTCACAAGCGCTTCTAATCAGACGAAATGGTCAGTTCCTTTCATGGTACAATCACCACGACAAGATTGATTGTCGAGGTGAAATTAGGTTACTGACCTCCCAGTATAGTTATCATGCTGAATCACTACTAATCCGGTCTCTACTATATCTCTGTAGCCCGTATCATTCGTTTCCGTGTTCCAATCTTTCACAATAATTGTTATTAATATTTACTTTATAGATTAACCATAATGTAAGAAACGAAATGAACGTGACGCTTAACTACCCTACACTCGACAACAACCAAAGAAATGTTTACTTGCCCGTGCCTCCCGCCTTTTAAGCAGACAATTTTGACGGGAGGCTCGATTGACGGGAGACAATTTTGACACGAGACCAAACGGTTATTGATGCGTATCGCTGCCCACGAATACACACACCTCCTTAATCATTACCTGCATGGGCATGATGGTATCCTACTATACTTTATAAGAAATGGGAATAGGTTTTCAGATTCTTGCGTTTAATGAAACTTGACAGCCCAAACAGGTCTCTAAAGTATAGATTTGTCTAAACCATTTTTTTTTAAATATCAAGTACACATACAAATATACGACATGTCCAATGTTGTAATAACCGCAGAATACCCTCTACCCCACTTAACCTAACCCTGACCTACCCCTAAACCTATAGCCTAACCCCAATCGTAACCCTATACCGTATCCCTAATCCTAAACCTATTCCTTACCCTAATAATAAAAATATCCATAACCATAACCCTAACCTTACATGTACCTAACCCTTACCCCAACCATAACATTCGTAATAAAGGTAATCCAGGGTTCAGCCCTACTGTGTGTTTCAAATGCTCAAAGTTGACTCTGTAAATGACTTGTTAAAATAAAGACATTTGAAGAAGAAAAAAAACCTTCGATTGTTCCTTGAAATTAACACCTACAAACAATTATGCGCGAAATCTTTCGAAGTAGCCGGTAAGGTGGAATCAACTTTTGTTTAAAAGAAATGTCACTCTACCCAAAGTCATGACACAACACCAATCCCATTTTGCTCACATTTCTCGTCATTCTGATGATCAATTCATGCATTATGTTAAAAAAATTAATTGGACCCACCTTCATATTTTTGTTTTATTCATTTTATTAATGCATATAAATTGGATTTCATATGTGTTTCATCAACATCAAAGGAATGTTTGTGCTATGACATAGACGTATGAAGTTCATGAATGAAATGAATAATGTTTCCTGGCCATTCTGTCCTTGCATCATAAAAAGAAAGATGTATCTTCGTCCAAACGCAACAGTGCATGTCAATTAAAATTTCAATAAAAACATGTGATATCGTGATATATAACGGAAGGTAACATGACTATTAAAAGAGTAATTTTAGATACTTAGCAACTGTAATTAAATTTGAGAACATACAGGGTATGAAACAAATCCTTCTGAATGCTCCTTGAAATACAAAGTAGCCGGTATAGTGGTATCAAGTTTCTAATGTAGCCTTCCTTTGTTTATAAAAAGAAATGTTACTCTATACCCAAAGTCATGACACAAAACCATTCCCATTTTAGTCACACTTCTCGTCCTTCCGATGCAAACAATTTATGCATTGTGTTTAACATTTAATTGGACGCACCTTCATTTATTTATTTTATTCATTCTCTCTGTGCATATTAATTGGATATCATATGTGCTTTATAAATGTTTCATTAATATTTAAGAATGCTTTTGTTCGATGACATAGACGTATTAAGTTCATGAATGAAATGAATAATGTTTCCGACCATTCCGGCCTTGTATCATAATAGAATACATGTATATCTTCGTCCAAAACGCAACAGTGCATGCCAATTAAAATTTCAATGAGAACATGTGATATGATGTTATTTTATTTAAATAACATTGTATTTATGAAATACGAATTTTATGAATTTGAGATGCAATATGAACTTCATGAGTTGTTAATATATAATAACTGTAGTTCTATCATTAGTTCTGTGAGACTGAGGTGATGGACATCTTTTAAATATCAGTATCATTTCATCACGTACTAACTATCGAAAGTCGAGTAGTCGTGAACGTTTACAGCTATGCACATTACTGATCGAGTTACCACCAATGTTAAGTGGCACGCTTAATTCATGCATTTTCCAGACGTGAATAACTAATTCACGGTCAATAGCCGCTGATCTGGACTCGCATACTAGGTCTGATGGGGATAGCAGATGAAGTACCCGGATGATGCGTGTTGTGATATACCAAGAACTCATTTCCACCTCCGTTCTCCCCTCCCCTTTCCATTTCTCCAATAGAAAGTGAAAATCAAATGAAATGTAAATATGGTGATGTAGCAAGCCTTTAAATTGTTATTTCTAAAAACCCACGAACTCAGGGTATGTGGTTGGAGAGGAAAATACAACAGAGAAAATGATTTTCTTTTACCTAGATAGTATTATATATGGCGTTTGCCATGCCATAGGCGTACGAGGCAGGGAGGCTCTAGGGAATGCAGCCCCTTTGAATTTTAAAACTATATTCGGATAACCATAACCTCAAACAGCCTCATATTGATGTTTCGAGATGTTCTTTTTATGATGAATATATCTTGCCTAATGTACTATAATTGGAAAATGACTTGAAAATGCTTTTGTTATGCACCACTTGTGGGTATCGCAATGACAAACAGCTGTAATATGTTTTCTTGTTCGCCCACTCTTTTGTGTTGAAATCTACTTTTGAGATTAGGGGATCCTCAAAATTAATATACCAAGGATATTTAGGATAATAGTTCAACCCAGATGTATCCAGCTTTCTCGTGTAAAAGCTTTGTACCCGATGTTGGGTTTTGGTAGCATAACGAAGTATAACGAAGCATAATTAAATAACTTGCCTCATCTGATCTCCAGCAAAAATTGACAGAGCATGAAATGATGGAGCTGTCATGTTGTTGTCCTTCGAAGATACAGATGGGCATGCGGTCACTATGACAACTCCGGGTGCGCGGCAAAAAGCGACTAAAAAACTCTGAAAGTGGAATATCTTATTCATGCACAGTGTCGTCTGCTCGTCACCCGCCTTCTGTCTCCTTTCAACTCTAGTGTGAATTGAGACAGGTGATCTGGAAGTGAGATCTAGTTACCATGGTTACGGGGTTTGAGAAGGAGTGAAGGAGGTGCTGATATGCCATAATTCATCGCTTGTGTCTATTTAATGATAATCGTACTGGATTCATATCCCCAAACGCTCCGTTATTCATCGGTATGCGATCAGCCGTTAGGGAATGAGCTGTAGGAAGAAGTAGCTCTCCTACAGGGAATGAAGCGTGACAGTTTTAAATGAATATAGTTAACTTTTCAGAAGCCCTTGGAGAAAACACCATTTCGATGTGGTGCATTAAAAAAAAGGTTTGCGTAGCAGCTACAGTAAATAGAACGAGAAGACAAAATACTCTAGTTTGACCAACAATACGTAACCCGTATAAGTATTTCAAAATCCTTAAATGTTACAGAGTAAAAATAATTGTGATGATTGTTTTGTGATATTAGTCATACAGCTTTAATAAACATATCTGTTGATTTGTGGAATTATCTAATGAAATCAGACTCGATTTATTGCATCTCTGCAGGACACAATCACACACATTATATACAAGTAAAGCATAGAAGCAGGATAAACAGAGAACGGTAAAACCAAGAGGGTCATACGGGTACGGAAGATCCTGAAACATGGGGTTAACACCCTGTTTTGGTACTCAATTGATTTTTAAATCAATATCAAATCAACTTTCTTCGATCCCTTCTTTAAAATATCATTAATGAAAATGTATGCCTTTAAGCCATGCGTAATTAAAAAGACACCTTGAGTATGACAGGCCCATAAAATACTAAGTACTGTTACATTGGCAATGTGATCAGATGTGACCGATGAAGCATGCCATCAGAATGTTGACGTGTGTGGGGTTTGAAGGTTGTACCTTATCTTCTACACATTAGATCCTGCCCCTGTCACAACGACACCAGACCGGGAACAGACCGATGAAACATTGCGTTACAACGAATGGCAAAGAATCGGTAGGTTTGTAGTCGGTATGGAATAGGTCGGGCGGTGTGACTGAGGAATACGCTCGAGAGCATAGGGGTAGACGTTATTTCCTACACATCAGCAAAGCGTGATAGCACCGAGGTACATGTTGTCTTTCAAGTGAATACTTGTGTACCAGCTTCTTAGATTACTGTAGCACTTGATTGTGTTATCTCGACATTGGAAGCTTTTAAGTGTGGGGGTACTTGTGTATTTACTGATGCATAACTGTGTATACCCGCTTTTTGCAGGTTTATTACTGCCTTTTGATTGTGGAATCTTAATGGTCTGTGAAATCGTGTGGCTGTGGCAACAACCACAGTGGAATGCATGAGTACTTACTTCCATGATAATTCATTTACACCAAATGAACAAATTGCTTATGTTAGAATATACAAGTATGGGGAAGACTAGAGAGACATTAGAGGGCGTGAATAAAGTTATATTAATAAGGACTGCAACAAGGGGGAAAATAATTCTTTCTTTCTATTCTCGTCAGTTTTACTTCTCCCATATTTATTCAAGTTACAAATTATGCCCCTTTTCAACGCTTCTGTCTCGTATTTTTTTTTAAATTTTTTTTGTCAGGGTAGCCCATTCACCAATAAGTAGTGGTCTTCCATGGGGCCCTGAATAAACATGAACATATTTACATCAAAAAGCATAACGTTTATACATAACAGGTAAAATAAAAATTCTATAGTACATTTAGAAAGATATGACACAGCAATAATATCTGTAATAATATCTGTAATAATATCTGTTTGAACTGATTAAATTGTCTACAATACTCCATCTGAGAATACAGAATGGCCTCAAGTTAAGCAAGAAAACCTATAAAGCTTTCGGAAAACTTAATGGGTGAAGCAAAAATGTATACCACCTGCGTCGTTATCACTGTTAATGGTTCTCTATCTTCATCTTTGTGTGCGTGTACGGTGTCTGCAAACACCATAGATAGTATTTTAATGTTGTGATGTTTGTGTTATTTTTCTCTGATTGTAAAGATTGTAAAGAACACACCGGAGTTTCAATATCATGCCCCATCCCGGCCCCTCTCTCTTTCCCTCTCTTTCACGTACTATCACTATACTATCTACCCCTCTTGCTATCTACCTCTCCTCCATCTATCCCCTCCCTCCCTCTCTTTGCCTACCACTATCTAAACATCATGCTTCAATCACTATTGTTTGATTAACATGTAAACAAAGATTTCCATCAAAATCACATATTTACAACTGTCAGCAGTAGATGTAAGCCATAAAACAAATTGATATACTACTGTTACTGGAACTTAAATATCTATCTAAACAAAAATGTCAAATTAATCTGGAAGAATTCATGAAACACAATGAAGACTTCAGATATTCTTCTTCCGTTTTCTAAATTCATCATGTTTTCTCGAATATACTTTTCCCCTTCCATGCCATTCAAAGTAAATTTTATCAATACTTGTCAAATATTGTAGATCAAATATTATTCTTGACCATATTAGGATCATTGTCTGCTGAGGAGATGATTAGTATCCCAGAGAATGTTAATCATGATTACCATAATGTAATTAAAGAAAGAAAATACAACTGTGGGTTATCAATGCCACCCCACCCTATTTGTCTCCTTTGATACATACCTTTGACACACGTCTGGCTGTCGAGACACCACGCTAATAACCTGCTGCTATTGTAATCTACATGATACATGTACATGTTTATCCAAATACAGATGTCAACACAACCCACGAGGGCGTTTACCACATTCTTTTTTAATGCATTATCATACCCGAAAACATCTGACAAAATAGAGCTTCGGGTATCAACTTTTAGCCAGACAATTTTATGTGTAAAGAATCTGATGTGTTAGTAAAAAAAATTAGGCTGGGGTACGGGTCTGCACGTGCGTATTTAGGTGTGTGTGAAATTATATTGAATTTGGTTAAGCTAGGGAGGGAAGGGCACGTTCCTTTACCAACCCTACCCCCCCCCGAATTCGCCATTGACTGGAGATCTCTACTTGAAGACTATGAAATTAGGCAAAACTTCTTCATGAAATTCACAAACTATGCTATCCTTCCGACGTACTAAAATCATTCTCCTTGCTACATGCAAGTCAAATGATGACTATATTTAGCTTGCATGATTCCGATGCTCACATGTCATTTTTATTCTAAACCGCAGAAATATGGAACTCAGACAATTTAATGGAACCAGCATGAGATATACAGATACCGATGCACACAGATACTCATGCATACACTGATCGATGAACGATGTTAAAAGCATCTTGATTTTTCCCTTTCCCGACTGAGGACGGCTCTATTGTCTCTTGGCATCGAATATATTTCCTCTTCATTTTTCTTTCCGTCTTCGTCCCTGAAAGCATGATGAATGCATTTATAGAGGGGGCGTTCCCATTACTTGGATACATGGTATATCTAACTGCATAACAGCAAGTTGATGAACATACAGTATTGCACACATTGCATCTAAATTCACTGTTCACACTGTGCATTACGACCGTACTTGCTTATTGCATATTGGCAGAAAAGACCCGTTACTTTTATTGTGGTTCTAAGATTTATTGCCACCATTATCATTGGCCATTTCACAGATGTATTCAGATATATGATTCTCGTATACCCAAAGTGCCGGGTGACCATTTCAAAAGTCACAACGCGGTTGCATACAATCATAATGAATTCTATGTGTGTGTGTATGGTCGACATGGTGACTCATATATACTTTTTACACAGGGGCAACGGTTGTCACATTAAATGATCTTCTTACTTAACTTGTTTCAAATTTAGAATACAGACAGACAGAACTGGTTTTTGTTGCAATAAATCGAGTCGTTCATGCAAATTAAGACAATTTTAGAAGAAGAAAAAACACCAAAGTCTCGAGATTCAAGAAATCTCAATCACAATGTTCAAGTGCAAAAAACGTCATTTTATGTCACAGTCTATAATGTTCATGTATCTAGTTTCTCCTAAACTACACCATATCTCGAGAATGTGAAAGGGGAAAACAAAATAGAACTAGTGCCCTTTCGAAGAGGCAAAAGGTGATTCAGGCCTTTTGTGAATTCTGATCTTCTATAGATGAAGAGGAAAGACCCTTAGATGCTCATTGATCGACTCAATTACATGACAGGTGCGTGGTTGTAAGGCAAGGATTGTTTCAGGCGATAGCATAGTTCAGAGTATTCTCTCCTGCAAGGCCTAGTGGTGAGAAGGATCAATCAATAGACATATACCTTAAGGTTATCGCTAGTTTAACCTTAATGAGAGGACATTCGCTAATGTTCCTCCCATAACATGTTTCAGGAGAAACCTGTACGCTTTACGCTATTTAAAGATAACAACGCGCATAGCGGCTGGTGTTTGCCATTCTACACAACTAGCCTTGCAATCCAGCTATACATTGAAATACTGACATTTATTCACCAGAGCATTTTCCGTCGTTGATATATTATCCATGTCATTAGTTAATTCAAGGAAAACATCACTTAAGCGATTGTATAGCTGCTGCAAGGATTTCGAATGCACATTTCCATAATTATTAAATTGATTGTGTTTCCATTAGAAATATGTTTACTTTCAGTGTACAATTCTAAACGATATTTTCAATCATTTTCCAATTTACGAAGCGGATTATTTTACAATTCTATAGACACCTCCACTGTGAATAATTGACCTTGGTTTGATGAGATTTATTAGCTATAAAAGTGCAATATAACCAAGGTTGTCATTTTTATATGGTGGCATTAAACTTAATTGAGGCAATAAAAGCCCTTAATGCAAAGTGCGCTTAGTAATCTATCAATACCACCAGATCATTGACAAATTCCACGAAGCACATTATTCCTATGAGAAAATGCTAGGATAATAATATCAGACGGAGAAAGATGGCATATCGAAATATTAGAGCAACCCAGAAGATCACAATCGTTTTTCTATCAAGGGCACGTGAACGCATTATGCATAACTAGATTTAAAATTTGAATTAAATTAGAAATGGTTGATATTTATGTTTATGAATATGTATATTAGGTATACTGCAGTATAATAACAAGTATAGTTATAGGTATAATTTTAGTTATTGGTATCGGTATATGTAAAGGTATAATTAGAAGTATAGAAGTAGAGGTACAAATAAAAGTAAGGATAGAAGTAGCAGTAGGAGTAGCAGTAGAAGCAGAAGTAGAAGTAGAGGTAAAAGTAAGAATTAAGAGTAGACGTAGAAGAAGGATTAGAAGTAGGATTAGCGGTATAAGTAAAAGTAGAAGTAAGGGTAGAAGTAGAAGTAGGATTAGCAGTAGAAGTAAAATCAGAAGCAGAAGTAGAATTAGAAGTAAAAGTAGAAGTAAATGTAGAAATAGAAGTAGGAGTAGCAGTAGAAGTAGAAGTAGAAGTAAGGGTAGAAGTAGAAGAAGGAGTAGCAGTAGAAGTAGAAGTAAAACTAGAAGTAAGGGTAGAAGTAGAAGTAGGATTAGCAGTAGAAGTAAAAGTAGAAGTAAGAGTAGAAGTAGAAGTAGGATTAGCAGTAGAAGTAAAAATAGAAGTAAGGGTAGAAGTAGAAGTAGGATTAGCAGTAGAAGTAAAAGTAGAAGTAAGGGTAGAAGTAGAAGTAGGATTAGCAGTAGAAGTAAAAGTAGAAGTAAGGGTAGAAGTAGAAGAAGGAGTAGCAGTAGAAGTAGAAGTAGAAGCAGAAGTAGAAGTAGAAGTAAATGTAGAAGTAGAAGAAGTAGTAGCAGTAGAAGAAGGAGTAGAAGTAAAAGTAGAAGTAAATGTAGAAGTAGAAGAAGGAGTAGCAGTAGAAGTAGAAGTAGAGATAAAAGTAGAAGTAGGCGCATAAATAAGTGTAGAAGTAGAAGTAAAGATGTTGTTCACTTGTTATACTAGTGAACCTACCACACAGATTTTATCGGATCAGCATCTTTCCTGCATGTCGACTTTTATCGTTAGTTTTTATTATCCGTGATATTGAAGTGATCAGCCTTTCAGTCATGTTGAGCAAAGTGCATTTGGAAGTGATCACCTTTTTTATGGTTGTAGCTAGCATCACCCCTCCGTTGTCATGAAATATTAAGATGTTAACATTCATGATATTGAAGTGATCAGCCTTTCAGTCGTGTTGAGCAAAGTGCATTTGGCTGTTACGACATCTTTTGTTACGGTTGTAGCTAGCTTCACCTCTCTGTTATCATGACATATGAAGATGTTTGCATGGAAACCAATAAAAACTGATTATCAAACTTTACCCTCGCTTAAGATATGCCATCTAATATTTGTTTTTTAATTATTTGTAGAAGAATTTGTCTTTTTAATGGTCTTTC